GAAATGAGTGTCAACGGAAGCAATGGTAGCCAAGTGGGCCACCAAGATGACATCGAAAGCCTCCATGATGTCAATGAACCGAATGTCAGTTACCCAAATCTAGTGGGTGGAGTTGGTGCCATTCGCTTGCCTCCAACTAATGGGAACGTTGGGTTCTATATTACAAGCACCATGTTGCAACTCTTACAATTGAAAGGGTTGTTTGGTGGGTTGGCTCATGAGGATCCCCATGAGCATATAAGGAACTTTGTTGATGTTTGCGGACCATTCTCCTTTAAGAACATATCTCAAAAATTGGTCTGGTTGAGGTTGTTCCCATTTTCTTTAATGGGAGAAGTATGTAAATGGTTGGTTGAATAGCCAAGATATTCTATCACTTCGTGGGAAAAGCTTGTCACCGCATTCCAAGTGAGATTTTTCCCTCCTTCAAATATGATGACACTTAGGGACAGTATCCAAAGCTTCAAGTGTTTGGAGGGTGAGCCAATCTATGAGACTTGGCTAAGATTTAAGAAGTTGGTAATGCAATGCCCAACTCATGGATTGCCTGATAATGTCTTGCTGCATTACCTTTACAGAAGCCTTCGGTGAACAAGGGAGTGGCTGATCAACTTTCTCCGGGAGGTTTAATGCAACAACCTTATGTGATAGCAGCCCAACTCATTGATGGCATGACCAAGATAAACTGGGCATGGTACACCCGTGAAGATCGGGTTTACCCTCTAACTTTTAGATTGACAAAGGAGCAGCTTGAGAAATATCAAAAGAGGGACCAAAACATGGCAAAGATGATGACCCAACTTAACATTTTAGCCAAAAATGTCATGGGTGCTGGTGCTAGGAGTGTAAATGTTGTGGGTGTTAGGTGTGTAAACCCCCATGAGGCCAAGTTTGAAGCATTGTGCAATGAGGAAGTGAACTTTCTAGCCAACCAAGGAGGAGGTTACCGTGCAAACTACCCAAGGCCGGGTGGTAACCAAGGTTGGAATAGAGATGAGGGCTAGAGAGACCATGATAGAGAGTGGCGTGATCGGAATGCCACTCAGAAGGAAAGAGATGGGGAGAAGGATAGCTATGTTCCTCCCGACGAGCGTCAAAAACCCAAAGATTCTGAGGTGGCCGGACTGAGGATATGCTCTCATGTATTCTAAACAAGGTTGAATAGTCCGATAAAGTTTTGAAGGAAATGAAGGAAGATGTATTGACTCTCAACTAGATGGTGACCTCTCATTCCATCTTTATCAAGCAGTTGGAGACCCAAATGGGTCATATTTCTTCTCATCTTAATCCCAGACAACAAGGGGGATTGCCTGGTGATACTATGGCAAACCCCATGAATGAAGCTTGAGTGGGGACTTGCGTCGTGCCATGACGTTAACTAAGGCGTTTCTTGGGAGGCAACCCAAGTTTTTATTGCTTTTTGTTTTTATTTGGAATAACGGGTATTGATTGTGCAGGTGATAAAGTGGAATGTGTTTGAAAAAGTGCAGGTTGGCAAGCCAAAAGTCCAGTCGGTGACTCACCGAAGTGGTCGGCGAGCCCGACTTGGACCACCGTTGGACTCAAGAGAATATCAGGTTGGAGTCTGTAAAACTCGGCGCGCTCATGGACAAGTTGGTGACTCACCGTACAGGTCGGCGAGCCCAACTTTATCTGCCGTTTGGACCCCCAAATTAATTGGAGGTCTTGTAAAACTCGGCGAGGTAAGTACCCACTCGGCGTGTCACCGAGTGGTTCGGTGTGGATGACTAATATCGCCGAAAGGGCCACGAAATGGATGGTTTTTAAAGGCAAAAGTTTTAAACTTTCAAACTCTTTCATATGCCCTCACTTTAAGCCTGATACAATCACACCCACACTTTAATATTTTGATATTTTTGCATTTTATTGCTTGTTGCTCATTGATCTTTTGTTCGGAGTTGGAATTCTTTGCCGCCTAGCATTACAAAATCGTGTTTCGGCATTAAAGGTTGGTTTTTTAAAACCCCAAACTATTAAGTAGCTATTAAATTAAAATGCAATTGTTTAAATGTCATTGATGTGTTATGGACCTCTCTGAAATCGTATTGTATTCTAGTTTGCCACTTTTAGTTTTGAAATCGTGCCTAAAATGCTTGTATTGATAATTTCCTAAATTTTGTGCTTTAAAATTGATCATAAACTTGTGGGTTGCGTTATTTTGCTGTTGGGTTTAGTCGAGTAAAATCTGAGTAACCGAAATTGTGCTAAATGACGTGCCTTAGCGATTGATGGAGCGTTTGACGTCATTCTTAAGGGCAAAAGTTATAAAATGGCCAATTTTGGCCAAATCGGAGGAAGTCTGAGTACCCCGCTGGCATGGGTCATATGGGTCTAGGCGTAATTGAGTATTATGTTGTTTGATTTTGTTTTTGGAGGCTGCGAGCTTGATTTTAGGAATCGAGGTTGAAAATTGGCACGTTAGGCAATTTGGCGAGCTGGGTGGAGCTCGCCGAACCACTCGATGGTTTACCAAAGTCCCCTTAGATCGTCCTTAATTTCATGCTTGGATTGAGTTTGGTTATCTAACTTTCGGCGAGAAGCCTGAGCTTGCCAAGTTCACTCGATAACTTACCGAAAGTTTCCCTTGATCGCCCTTTCTTCGCCCCTAACCCCTAAAACATACTGTAATTTTCAACGGGCTAGTCTGAGCTCGCTGAGTGGTGTCGGTGATTCACCGAATGGCCCTTCATATCACCGACATGCTATTTTTCTGGGAAAGTTCTAGGCCAATCCTTTCGGCGAGCCTGATCTGGCTCGCCAAAGTGATTTGTCGACTCGCCGATCGGTTCGGCGAGTCTTTCTACAACCTTTTTTTTTCATTTTTCTTAAACTGATTCTAACTATTTTTGATGTGTTTTACAGATATGGCTAGACCAAAAGTAGTAGGTCGAGACATGTCACACCGCAAAAGGGCAAAGGGAATCACTATAAATGAGGATGGACAAAAGAAACAAAACTTCGAACCATAGGTGGGAAGGGCATAGGAAAAGGAAAGGCACCTACTCTTGAGTCACCGTAGGTCAACTCCGACAGTAAATGAGTGTACGCCACTCACCTCACCACTTCTGAGAGTGAAGGTGAGCACCAGGATCCTCAGGCTGACATTTCTGAGTCTAAGGATGATCAGCTACTATTGGCCCGGAGAGCTGAAATGTGATCCAAGAGGATGCATGATCCGGGTACCACAGGCCACTACTCCTCCTCCTATCCCAGACCAGGTTGTAGTCCCAGCACCACCTGCACTGGGTCCTCCTCCTCAGTCTATGAACAAATTAAAGACTGAGGGACTAAGGACCATCATAGAGGAGAAGATGCTGGCGATGGATGGAGTGATAGACCGGTACACAGAATATGGCGTACCATAAAGGCTCGCAAGTTTGAGATTTTTACCAAACCCCGGGGTTCCTATATCCCCACCTAGGTTCGTGAGTTTTATACTGTGTATGGTGACCTAGTGCCTTCAGACCGGTGAAGTTTGTCATGGTCCGGGGGAACGAAGTAGGGTGTAACAACGATCACATAAATGTCGTACTTGACAGAGCTACTGGGTTTGAGCATGAGTACGAAGGACTAGCTACAACACATGCCCTGGATTATCTAAAGGGATGGCTTGATCCCCTCATTTCTGATACCACCCCGAGGTGGATCGAGGCAGGAGCTTCGATTGAGAAGAAGGATTTGAATGTAGTTGTGCGGTACTGGTTTGGATTCATTAGCAGCTCCATCCTTCCCTCACAGAATGAGTCCATCATCCGCCACCCGAAGGCGTCCTGTCTAAGATCCATCATAGCATAGAAGCGGCTTAACTTGGAACTCATTATTAAGCAGGAGATGGCAATGAGGGCCAAATAGTGCCAGACGTCCCTTCCCTTCCCGGTCCTGATTACAGAGCTATGCCGGCGTGCTGGAGTTCCTTATGACGAGAAGAGGGACATAGAGGTCACCCCCACATCTTCCATAGATATCCAGCACATAGAGGCCGAGTACACTCGGGATCAGGATGATAGGAGGAGAGCAGCTCCGGTGGATGCATCCCCAGAGGTTGATGTTGATTCTAGTCAACAGGGGGTTACTTCAGAGGTGATGACTTTGAAATCTGAGGTTTCAGACTTAAGAAACGATGTGGACTATTTGAAGTCCACATACTTCACTTCTCTCTTGGAGGCAGCTGAGGATCAGGATGCTCCGGCTAGTTTTGAGATGCCTCTGGCCACCACCGGAGAAGTGCATATGGATGATGTGGTTGTTGACGAGTCAGAGGAGGAGATGGTTGAGGAGCAGCTAGATACTCAAGAGGTGACCATCTATGGAGACCTGCCGGATTTAGAGGAGACAATTGTACTGTCGGTCATTCAGACATCGCTGACAGAGACGTCTATGGCAGGCTCTAGTGGAGCCAGTGTTGATGTTACACCGAGCATTGATGCTCAGGATCAGTGTGCTGCACCGGGCATTGATGCCCTGACAAATGGAGCGCCTGTGTAGACAGGATCTTTTTTTAGCTCCCTCTCTGTCAATTTTATTGACTTTTGTTTATTTGTGTTGCATTTGAGGACAACTACCTTTTTATATGTGGTGGGGTGAGGTATTTCCATACCTCTTGTGACTATATTTTGTATATATTGGGTTTTTGTGTTTTGACTTGTGTGTCGATACTATTTTGTGGTTGTTGGAGCTTATGTCTTCTTATTTTGAATAGAAATAGTTTTGACCCTTCTTCTAAAAACAATTGGGAAAAAGGATGAATTTACCCCCGAACTTTGATAAATGGTACGTCTATGCCCTCCGTTATACTTTGGGTACATCTCACCCCCTGCCGTCCAATTATCGGTACACACATGCCACTCTCACTAACGGCCCCCTCATCCTTTACACGTGTCCTAATCCTAGTTAACTACCCATTTGACCATTATTTTTAACCCATAAACTAACCACCCTCCCCATAAATCCATACCCATCTGATTCACTCTAAAGTTGAGATGGCCCTTGAAGCTTTGAATTCTCCAACTGGTACTTCAAATCCCCAGACGTTTCAATTTGAGAGAAAAGGTCAGCAGCAGCTTCGGTACCTTGAGAATTGGACTAAAGGGAAGAGATCTAAGAGGTCACGGAGTATGGATCGCCAGCCGACTGAAGAGGAATATTTGGCGCTTTGTTTAATTATGCTTGCGCGGAGCGATGGCTCTGTTAATCAGGTACGATCTCTACCACCGCCGGTGCCAGTGATGAAAATCCACACGACATTGGAGAAGATTGAGGAGAAGATGTTGTATAAGTGTTCGGTTTGTGGTAAGGGATTTAGATCTTATCAAGCTTTAGGAGGACATAAAGCTAGTCATCAGAAACTCATCGCCGGTGGCGGCGGAGGAGATGATCAGTCAACTACCTCAACTACTACTAACGCTACTGGAATTACTAGCTCCGGTAACAGTAACGGCAGTGGAAGGACTCATGAGTGTTTGATTTGCCACAAGTGTTTTCCTACTGGACAAGCTTTGGGAGGACACAATCGATATCACTACGATGGCGATAACGCTAATAGTAGCGTTAGCACTAGTGTCGGAGTTACGTCGGAGGAGGACGTAGGGTCTACAATCAGCCACCCTTATTTTGACTTGAACATTCGAGCATTGCCGGAATTCTGTCCTGGATTTGGTTCCGGCAAGGATGAGGTAGAGAGTCCACATTCGGCGAAGAAATCTCAGCTATCTCTACCTCCAAAATTTGAATTATTCCACTCAATTCTCTATTTTTCAACTCTCAATTTTTTTGTGTTTTTGATTTTATAGTGATTGAATTGAAAATTGACAGAGAGAAATGAGTAGAGTTGGTGTAGAATTAATGGAGATTGAAAAAGAAGTAACAGAAGAAATGAGAGATGGTGATGATGAAGTGAAGAGAATCCTTCCATGGAATAAAACAGATTACAGTACGAGGAATTGTGAAATAGGAACGAGACTCGAAAGATTTGGGTCTTTTAATTGACTTACGATATTTTAGAGGGAATCAGGTAGGTATGGGTTGATAGGGCGGGTTGTTAGTTTATGGGTTAAAAATAATGGTCAAACAGGTAGTTGATTAGGATTACGACACGTGTATAGGATGAGGGAGCCGTTAGTGAGAGCGGCATGTGTGTATCGATAATTGGACGGCAGGGGCTAAGATGGACCCAAAGTATAACGGAGGGCATATACATACCATTTATCAAAGTTCGGGGGTAAATTCATCATTTTTCTCAAAAAAAACTTGCCACCTTTTGTTGTGTTTGAATGTGGCTATTCTTGTGCACATTTGAGTATCGGTTATGATCAATACCGATGACTTGAATAGTGCTCTTAATCGAACAAAAATAAATGTGCAGCTACAATGAGGCCAAATGAAGTTTTATAGACAATATGTGGACTTTTTGCATCTCGGTTTGACTAGCTGGTAATCTAATGGAGTCTCTTATGATGAACATTGCACACTAGCGAAAGTGTGAAGTCTCGTTTGATATTGGTGCCAATGCCTTGTGTGATGAGCTTACCATGAATCTTGTGTGATGACATCTAGAATTTGCCCCGTTGGTCCAGTTGACTAAGTGATGCAAGCTCTTGAAATGATCTTAGGCAACAATTTTTGAAGAGTGAACAATTTGACAATATACCTCTTTTGTGGCCAATCTTGTGAGATTGTGTGAACCTTGCTTTGAACTCCCTTTGAGCCTTATCCTTTTCTTGGAAGAAACTTGAGAAATCGAGACCCCTCTTTATCCATTCACCCATAATCCTCATGAAGTGTTGTTTGTTTGAATAGACAATTTAGGCCAAAAGCCTAAGTTGGAGGTGTGGTGAAAAGAGGTAAATCAAGAAGTGTGAAGAAGTCCCCCTTTATCCATGGACTTAAAATAGATAGAAACCCTCCATATAAAAAAAGAGAAAGAAAAGAAGAAAGAAAAAAAAATAATAATGAAAAAGTTGTGAAATAAAGTTGTGAAAGTTGCAAAAGAAATGGGGGTGTCCGGGTAATTTCCATTGGAAGTGAATAATGGGGTGAAATTTTGAACATGAGTGAAAATGCTGAAGAAAAGGAAGGAAAGTGATGTTCATACCATATTTCATGAGGAAAGCAGCCACTGAGCCTAAATGACCATACCTTTACAGTCAGCCCCGTTAAAAGCTTTGAAAAGACCTTTTTGATCTTGAGTGAGCTTAAACGAATGTTGATTGGAAAATAAAGGCAAACCTATGGGTGGAGTCATGCATGCGTTCATCTTTGTGAGTGTGAGAGTTGTATATGATTCTGAAACAATAAACTGTTGAAGAATTGTGTGTGAATATGGAATAATCTTTGTTGTGAGGGCATTTGAGTACCTTTGTTGAGCTTGAACTTGAATTTGAAGCAAGTATTGTGAACTTGAGTACCTTTGATAATGGTGAGTCACAACTTGAATCTTTGAGTGCAAAATTGATCCTTGCATCAGTAAGTTGAGTCATGTTGTGTTCATTCATGATTGAGTCTTTTGTAGCACTATTTGAGACATCCTTTTTGAAATGCTGAACTTGAGTTTTACTTGAGGACAAACAAAAGTTTAAGTTGGGGAAGAAACCAAGTCGGCGATAGAAAGGTGCAGTCGGCGGATCGCCGACTAGTTTTGCGATGCGGTGAAAGATCGCCCAAAGCTACAGACCTTAAGGATGTTAAATACTAAGGCAGAAGGGCGATGAAAGAGACCAAAGGGCGGCTAGCCGAGTGGTTCGGCGACATAAATACTTTTTTGAACATTTAGTTTAGAGCTTCTATCATTCTTCAGATATTATTTTGAAGTTTTGAGCACTTGGAGACAGTTTTCTCTAGTTTTCCTTAGCTTTGAAGGATTGAAGAAATTTACTTTTGAGAAATTGGAAGTGGGCCTTTGAGAATCTTCAAATTGGAGAATTGTAAGGATGAAATCACTCTTACCCAGTTGATGGATAATTAATTTGGTAACGGTTTTTACCTTTTTATAATGTCTAGCTAAAACTCCAATTCTTAGTGTGTGATTATGTGATAATGGGCTGATTGCTTATGGGTATTGTTAATTGTTAGTTTAAATGCTATTTAGACGTGAGTTTCATCATTAATTGTGGTTTAATTTAAGAATTGTAGTTGCAAATGCAGTTCTATGTTTGTGTTCTTGGCTTGCTCGAAGAGAGGTTTTAGAACTAAAATTATTAATTGATGATTTATGGGTATTGAGTTGACCTGGGTTCAGCTCGAGAGAGTGAATCCTAAACCCAATCCCACACATTCAGCTCGAGAGAGTGAATGGATTAAGGTGTGGGTTGGTCTTATTTTGCATGCTTGTTGATGTTCGAGAGAAATCATTTGATTCGGGGTAAATTGTTAGAGAGAAAATTTACCTCCACTATAGCCTAGCCTACTCACTAATATCTAGCTATTTTCTAATAGTTGCAATTACCCATATGTCTACATTAGCCTATAATCGATCACATCCCAAGAATCCGTCTCATATTATTGTTAATTCGTATTGTTTGTGACTGTTGTTTGTAGTTGATAATCTAAACCAAAACCTCCATTTGACATTCATGTCACCCCTTAATTTGAATGATGTCTTTATTCGATAACTTTTATTCCTATGAATGATTTGACCATGTTCATACTTTCCAATTGAATCTTAAACACGTACTGCTCTCTGTGGGATTCGACCCCAACTCATTTAGTTGGGTTTTATACTGATTAACGATCGTTGATGCTTAGAATTAGATGAAGTGTCTTTGGAACGTTATTAATCAGTTATTTACATTCTGCCTCGCCCATACCGCTCTGGCGGCAACTTATCCCACTAGAGCGTCAATGCCCTAGCGGCGTCAAGCCCGCTCTGGCGGGCTAGGAGACCCAATTTCCCTGACATTTTTCCTTTCCTAATTAACTATGTTTCGGGTCATTATAGGTCATTAGGTTAGTCATGTCACAATTTCAACTTACGTAAAATATGAACTTCAATAGGAGGTTGTGAATAACACAAATTAGGGTAGAGGGTTAATAGCTAGAAGCTATGGGCCTTGTCTTGTCATATGTCCATACTAGTATTTTTAGTTTATTGCACCCGTAGTTTTAATTTCTCCTATTTAGGTTATTATTTATTTCCTTGTACTTCGACTATCAGATTTATTTATTTTTTTAGTTATCGTCTTGTTACCTTCTGTTGTTTTTTCTGCTATCTTCTATTTCTTATACTTTTTTTCTAGACTGTTTTGAACTAATTTTTCCTTGATTTGAGAGTCTATCGGAAACAATCTCTCTACCTCGAATACTTATGAAGTAGATAAAATATGTAGACATGCTACCCTCCCTAGACTCTACTTTGTGGGATTATATTGGATATATCGTTATTGTTGTTATTGTAAGTACCAATTGATAATATTGGTAAATACAGTAACTCACGTACTATTATAGAATACAATATAGTTGTTGTGGAAAATATTTACACTATCAGTGTATATTACTTTTATTTATTTATTTTTGTTTTCGCTCGATTTTGGGTTGGGGCGTCAAGACTGTTCTCTTGAGGTCCTCACAGATTAGTAATCAAAGAAGAGAGAGATGGGTTGACTTACCATGATTGAAGATGCTTATTTGTGTCTTTAGATTGATGGACTTGTATGTAGACTTTTAAGCATTTCTATGGGCATATATACCTTTAGTAGTCACTTGTAAAACAATAATTTTTTAAAAAGTGAAATAAACGCTAGACCTAGGATGTTTCTTAGTTTCACAAAAAACAAATAAGAGATTGAGAGCATTGTTACTTGGTTCCAAAGTTACTGAAGTTTAGGATATGTTATTTTTCTTGCAGGATGTACTGCATTCATAATCTACTTAAGAATTTCATATATTCCTATAATACAAATGTCATACAAGATTCGTATAATAACATCAATAGTATAGAAAACCTCTTACAAAGGCAATTAAGGAAGGATTTTGAATCTGGCGAAACTCAATCTGCATGTATAATATACTCTGTATTTACATGTGAATCTTTTGGAATTTTTAATCGATCTCTCAACTTCTACTGACTTTTCAAGTAATCTTTTGTGCAAAGTCATTCTTGGTGTGCTCTGATTTCAATGGCTTTCATCATTGCTCAGACTGAACTCTTCTTTTATCTTCCTTTATTTCTTATCGTAAGAGCTTGGACATTAACAAAAGAATAGATGCATCGGAGTTTAAGATACAATAAATTGGAGAGAACTCTAATTGTTATGGTTTTTCAACTCTTTCTGCCCATGTTATTGTCAACAACTGAACATATCTTTCATAGACACATGGACTAAGATTCAACATTGATGAACTAATAACAGATACTCTTGATTGGACTTGCAAAGTCTAAATCGCGGACATGAGTTGACAGCGAGAAAGCCCGAAGAAGAAAATGAATTCCAATGGTCACACCTACGAAATATCTATTTTGATTTGACCAAAATCATCTAAACGAAGTCCTTATTACTTGGATGATATCTTGTTTATGAACAAAATATTGATCCTAATCTATTAGTAAATGATCAGTTACATATGTGACAGTTATTGCGGTCACTTTTATGATTTTGGTATTTCCTAAAATTTGTAAAGAGAAGACAAAAAGGTGCATCTTATATGTGTTGAAGTTACTCATGAAAAAGTTATACGTTTTGCATGGACCAAATTGATCCGAATATCCTTAACACAGTATGTCACTTTTGACTGCAGGGTGTTTAAGTATCAACACACAAGTAGGAACACAAAATAGCTATCCACCATCTTTTTGAATTGTAACACATGCTCAGGTACATTGCTGTTTTTTCCCTGATGCTTCATGCAAAATTAAGAAATTATTTTACAAGGTTAACGAGTTAATGAAACTGATTAATCTAGTGTCAACAATTGTAATGTGTGCATTGTATAAACTATTATCATTTCTCATTAAAATTCCTTTGTGGGGAGGGAGATTACTTAGTAAATGCAGT